CCACCAGCCACTCCACAGGAGAATGATGAGACTTTCTGCTCCTGCAAATATTTGTAGCCTTGGAAACCCTACATAGGGTATCTTTGAGTCGGAATGTTGCTCTGTTTAAGGTTTCTGAGGAGCTGCTGTTAATACTCTAGGGTGTTGCCTTGTTACTTAGCTCAGACTGTTACTCATCTCTCTCTTGAGTGACATGATTTGACCCTGAGTGACTTGAGGCAATTGCCTGTGGTCTAATTCAGCAGTTGATTTCATTCATTGTCTATGGGAATGTTCAGGAAGACTGAAGACAGTTGCAAGAAATGACTGTGTATTGAGCTGTGGACAGTAAATGTTCACCTTCCCTGGTGTCCCGCTAAGAGAGGGAGCCCTCTTTCTTTGGGATAATTTGTTTGGTTTATTGAAACCTCAGTCATGTTACTGTTTCAAATCTCCGAGGAGCATTAGAAGGTGATTTATTTCGATAGGTCAGGAGGGGGCAAGTGTGGGAGTTCTAAATCAGAACTGCCTAGGAGAGCGGTCATGTGAGTCACACTTGAATTTACTCCCATTCAATGGGCCCTGGCTTGTCAGGCCCTGGGTAAGATGGCTGCCTGCCAGGAAGCCTCCCCTAGCTGGAGCATTCCAAATACCCTCTTTTCTTGTTCTTTCAAGGTGCACCCCTGGTGGGATTTGCTGGGACTTGTGGCCTCCCCATTCCAGGCTTCTTGGCAGAGGCTGGGATTTTGGATTTCTGTGGATGGGAAGAGATTTGGCCTGTAATCTTCCTTTGCCTCCTGCGGAGGGTTGGACTAGAGAACTTCAAGGATTTAGTTTAATCCTGGGTTCTCTGATTCAACTATTCACCCCTGTGCCTACTAATAGGCCACTGGGGAGAAGAATGAGGTCAAGTATCAAGTAGTACTTTGTTCCCTTTTTCCATCTTCCAATTTGGAAGTTTTGTGTCCTCTACTTATATTCTTTTATAGGCTACCTTTATAATGTTAACAGTCATAATTGATCTAATAATGACAAAGTTTTGAAAGTTAGTCATTCATCAGCAAATAATTACTATGTACCTACTGTGCGCAGACACTTGTGCTAGAGAAACAATTTAATCAAAGGCTCTGCCGTGTATACATACCTTTAAGAGCTTCCATTTTACGTAGTATTCTAATGCTATCTTGTTTTTTAATCTCCAAAATTAGCTATTTTTATAATATTTGTTTTTGTTGTTGAGCTTTTTAAATCATGTTTGCTTATTTTTTATTTTGGCATTTGTTACTATGGAAGGACCAATGGTGGAGAGTCAGTGTTAGGGTGAAGGAAGGCTGGGGCCAGGGGTAGGAGAAGAGCAATGTTGCTAGAAACAAAATCAGTTGAATTTAATTTTTTTTAGATCTTACTATTTAGATTTGTCCACATATTTACCATTTTCCTTTCTGTTAATTTTCACACCCAACCCACATATCTCTGGATTCCTTTTCCTTCTGATTGAAAATTTTCCTTAAGTAGATCATTCAACAAAGAGTCACTAGAAAACACTCAGGATTTATTTGGATCTAAAGTCTCTTTTGCCAGGCTTTCCTGATTGATATGCAACTTTCCGGAAACAGCCTTTTTTCAGTACCCTGAAGCTATCACGCCACTGTTTCTGCCCACTGTTTTGCCCTGGTGGCTCTGTAGGAGAAGCACTGGGCTGCTAATTCCATGGTCTGCAGTTCAAACCCACCAGTTGCTCCTTGGGAGAAAGTTGAGGCTTTCTGCTTCCGTTAAGATTTATATATAGTCTCTGAGATAGAATGAATTTACTGGCAGTCAGTTTGACTTTTTTGGTTACTTTTACTTTTGTGGAGCCTGGCATTTATCTGTTACTGTTTTATAGATAAATTTGCTTTTACTGTTTCCTCTTTAGTATTTTATCTTTGGTGTTGGTCACTTTCATTGTGATGTGTCTTTGGTGTTAACTTCTGATTTATTCTCAGAACTCGATGTGCGTTTTCAATCTGACGACTCATGTGTTTCTTTAATTCTAGACAATGTTCAAGCATCCCTCTAAATAGTGTATCAACCCCAGTGTAGAGAGTTTGGTCGCTTTTGAATCAAGTAACAGGAAACCAACTAATATTAGCTTTAAAATAATTTGCATAAGTAATGGAATTTTTATATTATGTACATATGCATCCTGATTTTGCATTTCTTAAAAAAAAATTTTTTTTATAGCTAGTATACCTCGATGAATAAAATAACCTTGTGCACTTGTTACCTTGTATTATGAATATGTATCTTCAGGGTAAACACCTAAAGATGGAATTGCTGGGTCATAGGGTAAATATGTATGTAGGTTTGTTAGGTATTTCCAAATTCCCCTCCGTAAAAACTCACCTCGCGGTAGAATTGAATTGGGCTCATAGCAACCCTAGAGAACAGAGTTGAGCTGCTCCTTTGCGGCCCCGAGACTGTAAACCTTTGTGGGAGCTGACAGCCTCAATTTTCTCCCATGGACTGGCTAGTGGATTTGAACCCCTGAGCTTGGGGTTAGCATCCCAATGATTAACCCACTGTTTCACTAGATGCTAACAAAAGTGTTGCCAAGTTTTTATACTTTTGCTGGTCTGAAAGGAAAGCAATGGTGTCCCATTGTAATTTTAATGTGCATTTCTTTTGAGTGAGATTGGACATAGTTTTGTAGGTTTAAGTGCCACTGGTATAGCTTCCCCTGTGAACTCTGTCTTTATGTCTCTTATCCATATCGCTGTCTGGTTTTCTGTCTTTTTTTCCTTATTGAGTTAAAAAAAAAAAAAAAAAGGGAGATTTGTCCTTTATCTGTAGTGTATGCTATAAATGTTTTCTCCCTGTTTGTCTAAATGACTCAATTTCCATTTTCTTACCCACCGTGTTATACAATACAGATATTTGTTCTGTTAACTCAAGAATAATAGGTTTATGTAGAAAGTTTATTTTGAGATACCGATTAATAATTTACTTACAAGAGTTAACAAAAACCAGAACTCATCAGAGACAAAAATTGGAAATGACTGTACAAAGACACAGATACAAGAGGCATTCTTCTAAAACATATTCATGGCACGAAGCTGGAGGAAACAATATGTTGCATGACTGGATCAAAATTCAGAATGCTTTAATAGCCTGGAAATAATGAACCAAAAATGCACAAAGTAAAGTGTAGCGGAAATCATGTCTTCTAGTTCCATTTAAGATCTTAATTCCTTAAGTTCAAGATTAGGACGGCTGCCTCCAAACAAATTCATATACACATATATAAAGTTGGAGTTTTCGTTGACCATTCATTTATACAAACCTGATAGGATGGTAAAGCTATTAAAAGAAAATGCAACCTTTGAATGACTTGTAGAAGGAGATTTATCTTGGTCGTGGAGGGAATTGTCTCTTTGTGTTTGATACTCACTGAGTGGGTGGAGGGCCAGAGAAAATGAGGGAGCTCTCCAGTGAGATGGATTGATACAGTGTCAGCAACAATGGGCTCAAACTTAACAGTTGTGAGGATGGTGCAAGACTGGGCAGTGTTTCTATCTATTGTGTGTATGGTCGCTATGAGCTGGCAGCAACTCACAAGACCTAACAACAACAGACTGCATCTAATAGTGTGTTCAGTTTTGGAGTCCACAAATCAAGAGAGTCATACACATCTGTGTATGAATCCAGAGCAGGGAGGCCAAGTTAGTGAAAGATCTGGAAACCACATAGTGAAGAATGATCAGGAACTGGGGAGATAGAATCTGGAAGAGGGAAGACAGGTAGCTTTCTGAAGTCTGTCAAATGGAAGAGAGATTAGGATTACTTGGTGCCACTTGAGAAAGCAGACCTAGGATTAGTGGGTATGGGAAGAGCAGTCAGGCCCACTAGAAGGGAGCCCTTCAAATGCATTTAGGAGTGCTGGTGAAGGGAGGTGCTGCCTCGTATCTGTATCCTTCCCGTGGCCACACGTGTTTGGATGAAGATGCCAGGACACCAGGAAGGGTTCAGGGATGGTTTTGCTGCCGTGTGTAGGCAGTTTGGGCACCAGGGTACTTGCTGTCTGTCAATGGGAAGCAATCTTTCTGGTATCTTCTGTTTGTGAGAAACTAGAGCAGGGAGAGAAAGTGATCTGTGGGATTTTTTTGGCTGACTAAAGTAGACTAAACGTTTTGGAGAAACATTAGTCTGTAGGATTTAGTGTTTAAATGTGCCACCCTTGAGGTTTAGACAAAATATAACTTTAGCCAAGCTCTGGAGTCAGCTTTCTGTGAGCAGGAATTGCACCTTATAGAAAATAGTGGTTGTGGACCAAGTCCTTACACTGTGCCTCCACTTACCCATTTGTGAAGAGTTCTTGGAACTTCGTCCTCTCTTCCCATGTCAGATGAGAGCAGTGATGATGTCTCAGTGTAAAATGCACTTGATTAAACCCTGCTCAGGGAACTCAGAGTAGTTCTACAATAATCTGATACCAAAAGCTTTAATGTGTTTCTGAGTCACCTAGGGGTAGGTTAAGATACAGATTCAGAGATACGGTGAGAGATTCCACAGCTCTTAAGAGGTTCCCAAGTGATGCTGCTGCTGCTCGTTCAGGGCCCACACTGCCTAGTAAGGGTCACAAAGTAGCAGTCCATAAAGTGATGCCCGTGGGGGGATTTATGACAGCATCCCCTGCCACCTCTCAGTTTGCCTGTTGAAAGTGCAAACTACAAGGCTGTAGCTCCAGTCTCTGGAATCAGAATCTCTATTGATGGTGCCGAACTGACACTCTAGGCAATTCTTAAGCACACTAAAGGTTTTGAACAACTAGTCTTAGGAAAAGGAGTAAGATGATCTAGATGGGAGGAACAAATTGTTCACTGGAAGACAATGTCCCACACAGAAAATAGTCTATTGTGTGAAGCCAGGGTAGGGAAGACTAGCTGAGTGTTACTACCTGATCAGTTTTGGGGTCCTCTGGGGAAAGATGTTGATCTGATCTGATGATTCTTTCCCTGTTTTTTTCCTTGTTTCCCCAGTTGCCCAGCATGCTCTACCCACCCTACGTCGAGGCGCGCTGACCATGAGCCTCAACTCCTCCCTCGGCCACAGGAAGGAGCTAAGTAACCTCACTGCAGTGGATGGCGGTGAAGGGAGTGTCCTTGTCACCGAGTTCATCGCCATCATTGTCATCACCATTTTCGTCTGTCTGGGCAACCTAGTTGTCGTGGTCACCTTGTACAAGAAGTCCTACCTCCTCACCCTTAGCAACAAGTTCGTCTTCAGCCTGACCCTGTCTAACTTCCTGCTGTCTGTGCTGGTGCTGCCTTTCGTGGTGACAAGCTCCATTCGGAGGGAATGGATCTTTGGTGTGGTCTGGTGCAACTTCTCCGCCCTTCTCTATCTGCTCATCAGCTCAGCCAGCATGCTCACCCTCGGGGTCATTGCTATCGACCGGTAAGTGTGCTGTAAATGTAGAGCATCAGTGACTCAAAACAACATTTTATTAAATGAGCTTAATTGGTTTAAAGATGACTTTATGAGATAGTTTCGATTCTAGGCTTATAAGTTGTTTCTGGGCAATAGATTCAAAGGTCTACTCCAGTATCAGTATATCTAGTAAATCTGGTTTTCATTAAGCATTTGAAGTTCTGTGTAACAGATTTCCTCCTTTTGATCAAGATCCATCTATTGGGTCCTTGATAGAAATGTTCAGTATTTGTAGCTGGGTAGCATATATTTCTTCTGGAAATAGTTCATGGAATATTTTTTAGTTTACACACATTAAACTTTTTAAAAAATAGGCTGATTGCTGATATAAGAAGCCCAATGTGACTCTGTAGGACAAGCACTGGACTACAAGGTTGGTGGTTCAAACCCACCATCCACTCCTTGGAAACCCTATACAGGGTTACTATGAGTCAGAACCTACTCAATGGCACTTAACAACAACCAGTGGTGCAGTGCTTGCCTGCTAACAGAAAGGTCGACAGTTTGAACCTACTTGTTCTCTGTGAGAGAAAGATGTGACAGTCTGCTTCCATGAAGATGACAGCATGGAAGCCCAGTGGATGGCTCTCTGTCCTGTAGGGTTATTGTGCCCTGGAATCGGCTCGATGGCAGTGAGTTTTATGGCACAGATAGTTTTGTGACTTGCTTTTTTCATTTAATAAGTGATCTTGGGCAGTTTGTCTCATCTGCAGATATTCTTCAAGAACATCATTTTTAATGGTTATGTGGTATTCCTATGGGTATACTATAATTTATTTTTATGGTTCTGTATTATTAGATCTTTAGGTAGTTTCAGACAGCCGCCTCTTAACAATTAGCACCTGGAGGAACATTTCTGCTTGTTGATTTGCTGTGTTTTCAGTAGATCTAAAGCACTTTCAAGACTCTTGAAACAGAAGAGGCAAACAACCCTTTAGAGGGTTGTGCAGATTTTTATCCCACCACTCATTTTCATATCCTATCAAGATTGATTACATAACATTTAAAAAAATGTTGCAAGTTTGTTGGCAGTGGGGAGGAATGGGATGCCATTGCTTTAAAAACATCTTTTCATTTTTTAAAGACTGATCGCTGTGACCTGGGCTCTTGGTGTGTGCAGTGTGGAGACAACCCAGGAGTTGGGGGATGACTAGCCCTTCAATGCCTCACACAACACTGTAGATGGACCTTCAGTACATCGTGCCTGCTGTCTGCAGTGGAGGCTGTACATTGCTTGTTTGAATCTGGGGTCTAGATAAGCCAGAGTGAGAGTTTTCACCAGCAAGCATGGCGAATCCTCAAATCATACCATTAACATGCATCGTCTTGGCAGGATTTACCTCCCTCAGTGCCTTATTCCTTCACACTGGGAGATTTGTTGGATGTCTGCACTATACAAGGCCCTGTGCTGACTCCTTGGGGTGGCAGGATACGAGCATGAACAGGACAGAGAGCCTGCTACCAAGCACTTACAGCTTAGCAGCAGAGGCTGACAAGTGAGTGCTGACAGGGAAACAAAGCAGAGATGACAGCATAGACAGCCATTCCAAGCACTGCTTCAGGGAGAAGGTAACATTTGAGCTAGCTCCTAAGAAGTGAGTAGGATTGGGATTGTACATGGATGGAAGATGGGGGACGGACCTTTTTGGCTGAAGGAACAGCCTCCTTTCATTCATTTAGTAAATAGTTGTTGAACATTGAATGTATGCATGGCACCATGGTTGGAGTGGGGAGCACAACACTGAAAAAGACGAATAAACATGCTTAGAAATTCAGTGTAGAGGAGATAGACATTCGATCAAATGAATTTGGACCAAATGATACATATGTGTGATGTGAGCATGTATAAAAATCTGTGGGAACACAGAGGAAGGAGCATGGCTGAGTGTGGGGAATAACATGGGATGTTGCTGAAGGACACAAAATGATGGACTATGAGAAGATGTTGCATGTGTACAGGTCAGCACAAATCAGACCACGGGAGCATCAGTCTAGGCCCCAGCAGTAACAGAGCCTGCCTCTCTCTGGTGCCAAGTCATGAAGGCGTGGTTTTCTTTGGTAAAAGGAGCCCTTGTGGTGTGGTGATTAAGCACTTGGTTGCAGTGATTTGAACCCGCCAGTGGTTCCATGAAAGAAATGCCCTTGCAATCAGCTCCCATAAAGATTTCAGCCAAGGAAACCCTATAGAGCAGTTGTACTGTGTCCTGTAAGTTTGCCATGAGTCAGAATTGACTCAGCGGCAAGCAATAAAAACAACATCACAAACAAAATAAAGTGGATTCACAGTGCATTTTACAGGTTTTTTAAAAAATACATAAAACCAAAAAATAGCCCATTGCCATCAATTTGAATTCCAACTCAGAGTGACTCCCTAGAACAAAGTAAAGCTGTCCCCATAACCTTTCCGGTGCTGTAATATTTATAGAAGCAGACTTCCATATCTCCTGTGGAGTGACAGGTAAGGTCAAACCACTGACCTTTTGGTTAGCGGCCAAGTTCTTAACCACTGTGACATCCGGTCCCCTTTAGCAATACACAGAATACTATAAAATTTGGTGTGTTGAGGTATTTTAATGTCAGGTGCAGTTTAGTTTTGGTTATTGGCTATTTGTGTGCCTAAAAACACAAATTGACTGGACTAATTTGGTCATGTTCATATAAATGATATTTATTTGACCAGATGTTTTTGTATAAGGATCCTTCCCTTTCTTCTTTACTTTTAGGGAATTAGGTTTTTTTCATTTGTTTTTCTTTTAAGTGTAAACTGAGAGATAATTTACATGGGAGAATATCGGCTTTACACCATCGTTTCATTCCAATGATTACAGTATTCTCCGTGCATCATCATTCAACAGTATTTGCTTCCATTACCTCTGTTTTTCTTTCTGTCTTTCATTTTTGGGGGTGGGATGGGAAGATGTACATAAAAACACTCAGGAATATATAATAATTTAAACAACCAAATGGAACATTCTGCAAGCCTACCTTCTGGCAGTTACCAACAACAATTATAAAAGAAGAGATTGCAGGTATTGTTAAAAAACTTCCAACAAAAAAGGCCTAGGACCAAATGGCTACACTGGAGAATTCTACCAAACTTTGAGAGAAAAGTTGACACCAATCCTACTCAATTTCATCAAAAACATAGGTGAGGAAGAACACTACTAAACTTTTTGTATGAAGTCAGTATAATCCTGATACCTAATTCAGGCAAAGACATCACAAAAAGAGAATTAGAGACCAGTATCCCTTATGAAAATGTATATATACATTTTCAATAAAATTCTAGTCAACAGACTTCAACAATATATTTTAAAAAATCATGCTATGATCAAATGGGATTCATACCATCATTTCACATATAGTTTAGCATTAAAAAATCAATGTAATCCACCACATAAAACCAAGGGTAAGAATCATATGCTAATATAAGCATTTGATAAAATTCAACAGCCTTTCCTGATAAAACTCGAGCAAAATAGGAATAGAAGAAAAATTTCTCTCAACATCATCATCTTAGGTTGGGTTCTCTAGAGAAGCAAAACAGCAAACATTGTATATGTGTATACATTAACAGAGAACTTCCAGAGGTTCAAGCTGGATTCAGAAGAGGCTGTGGAATGAGAGATACCATTGCTGATATCCAGTGGATCTTGGCTGAAAGCAGAGAATATCAGAAAGATGTTTACCTGTGCTTTATTGACTACGCAAAGGCTTTCGAGTGTGTGGATCATGACAAGCTATGGACAACATTGCAAAGTATGAGTATTCCAGAACACTTAATTGTACTTCTGAGAAATCTGTACCTGTACCAAGAAGCAGTTGTTTGAACAGAGCATGGGAACACTGAATGTTTTAAAATTGGGAAAGGTGTGCAACAAGGTTGTGTTCTTTCACCATACTTATTCAACCTGTATGCTGAGCATTAATACGAGAAGCTGGGTTCTATGAAGAAAAACATGGCGTCAGGATTGGAGGAAGGAAGACTCATTAACAACCTGCGATATGCAGATGATACAACCTTGCTTGCTGAAAGTGAAGAGGACTTGAAACATTTACTGATGAAGATCAAAGAACACAGCCTTCGGTATGGATTGCATCTCAATGTCAAGAAAACAAAAATCCTCACCACTGGACCAATAAACAACATTCTTATTAACGGAGAAAAGATTGAAGTTGTCAAGGACTTCATTCTTCTTGGATCAACTATCAACGTTCACTGAAGCAGCAGTCAAGAGATCAGACGACATATTGCATTGGGCAAATCTGCTGCACAGGAACTTTTTAAAGTGTTGAAGAGCAAGAATGTCAGCTTGAGGACTAAGGTGCGCCTGCCCCAAGCCATGGTATTTTCAATAGCCTCATATGGATGTGAAAGCTGGACAGTGAATAAGGAAGATTGTAGAAGAATTGATGCCTTTGAATTGTGGTGTTGGAGGAGAATACTAAAAGTGTCATGGACTGCCAAAAGAACCAATAGATCTATTTTAGAAGAGGTGTAGCCAGAGTGCTCTTTGGAGGCCAAGATGGCTAAACTTCGTCTCTCATACTTTGGACATATTGTCAGGAGGGAACAGTTGCTAGAGAAGGGTGTCATGCTGGGTAAGATGGAGGGTCAGAGAGAGGAAGACCCCCAACGAGATGGATCAGCCAGGTGGCATCATTGATGGCATCAAGTGTGGCAGCGGTAGTGAGGTTGGCCCAGGATCGGACATTGTTTCGTTCTGCTGTGCATATCCTTATGTCTTGATTATCTATTGTGTTCCACTGATTTATATAAATCAGTGGAACACAATAGATAATCAAGAAACAAGCTCCCACTTAAAAGGTCAATTGATTTTGGTCAAATATGCCAAGGCAATTCAATAGAGAAAGAACAGTCTTCAACAAAATTAGATAGCTGCATGCAAAAAAAATTTAATATTCAAACCTTCTCACCATGTGCAAAAATGAATGCAAAGTGGATCACAGACCATAATGTAAAACCTAAAATTATAAAACTAGTAGAAATAAGCAGGAGGAAAATTTTAGTGACCTTGGAACTCATCTTCCAGCACCTTCAGACAACGTTCCACTGCTATTCATGAGATTTTCAGTGGTTAAACATTCAGAAGTAGTCCGCCTCTCCTTCCTAGTGTGCATTAGTCTGGAAGCTCCACAGAAACCTGTCCACCATGGTGACTCTTCCAGCATCAAAGCAACATGCGAGCCACCACAGTATGACAAACTGACAGATGAGTGGTGATTTTGTTTTTTCAGAGTACTCTGTTAATGCATAGGAACCTAATATATATATTGTTGTTGTCAGGTGTCATCGAGTCGGAACCGACTCATAGCGACCCCACGCACAGCAGAACCACATATGTAAGTCTTGAAATCAGATAATCTGAGTTTGCCAACTTTGTTCTTTTTGGCTATTATAGATCTTTTGGCTTTCTACATAGGTTCTAGAACCAGTTTATAAATTTCCAATGAAAAAGTAGGCTAGGATTTTTATTGGGCTTTATTGGATTTGTATATCAATCAGGATAATTGACATATTAATAATCTTGAGTCTTTCATTCCATGAACACAATAATTGTCTCCATTACTTAGGTCTTCTTTCTCTCATCAGTGCTTTGTTGATCAGACTAGTTTATCTTGTCCAGCATCTCCTGGCTGCTCTGTGCTGTCTCCTCTCCTGTTTTTACTCTTTTTAGCTCAGTTTAGATCATTGCTATTGAAGTCTTAAAGTTCAGATTATTTCTTCAGCTGTGTCTAGTTTTCTAAAGAATTTTTTTTCTGGTATATATAATTGTTGTTATGTGCCGTGGAGTCGGTTCCGACTCAAAACGATCCTGTACAGTGTTTCTGAGGCTGGAAATCTGTACGGGAGCAGAAACTCTTGTCTTTCTCTTGCGGAACAGCTGGTAGTTTTGAACTAATGACCGTGAGATTTAGCAGCCCGACTCGTAACCACTATGCTACCAGAGCTCACATATGTATACACACACATACATACATACAGTTCTAGTATTCCCATTTGGCTCTTTTGTATCTATCTCTCTGTTAACATTTCATATTAAATATGCTAACAGATTAATCAAAGCTGTTTGAACATGATATTTAAAAAACCTAGTCTGATAATTTTACCATCTGTATCATCTCTGAATCTCGTTCCATTGATTGCTTTACCTCCTGATAATGGGCTGTGTTTTCTTGTGCATTTTGTAATTTTTTGTTTAATGCCAATCACTCCTGATACTGGCCTGTATTTTCTTGTACATGTTACAATTTTTTGTTTAATGCCAGTCATCGTGTGTGAAACAGAAGAAATTGAAGTTGATTGTTTACAACTGAAAATGTGCACACTTCTGTTGGATCATCAGCTTGAGAACTGCATCAGTGTTGGCAAGAGTTCATCTGGGTTTGGATTATATTGTTGCTATTGTTACCGTCCCACCACTGTGTGTCAGTTTGTGGTACTGTGGGGGCATGTGTGCTGCTGTGATACTGGAAACTATGCCGCCAGTATTTTAAATACCAGCAAGTCTCCCATGGTAGACAGTTTTAGTGGCGTTTTCAGGCTAAGACAGACGAGGAAGAAAGATAGGTGGACTGTTTAGTCATTGGAAGTCTTATAAATAGCAATGGAACATTGTCAGATATAGTGCAAGAAGATGATGTCATTATGAATAGTACCAGAATATTGTTAGATATAATGCTAGAAGATGAGCCCCTCAGATTGGAAAGCACTCAAAATACATCTGGGGAAGAGCTGCCTCCTCAAAAAAGTTGACTGTGATGATGTGAATGGATAAACCTTTTGGTACCTTCATTTGCTAATGGGGCACAACTCAAAAAAAATAGAAGCAGCTGCAAGCGTCCATTGATAATCGGAACATGGAATGTATAAAGTATGAGTTTAGGAAACTTGGAAGTTATCAGAAATGAAACGGAATGCATAAAGATCAATATCCTAGGCATTCGTGAGCTGAAATGGACTGGTATTGTCCATCTTGAATCTGACAATTGTATGGTTTACTATGTGGAAGATGTCAAATTCAAGAGGAAGGGTGTAGCATTCATCATCAAAAAGAACATTTTATGATCTATCTTTAAGTGCCATGCTATCTGTGATAAGATAATAAATATATGCTTACAAAGAAGACCAGTTAATACCATTATTATTCAAATTTATGCACCAATCACTAAAGTAAGCTGTGGGTTAATGCGCTGGACTGCAAGGTCCATTTGAACTGCAAGGTTGGTAATTCAAGCTCACTAGCCGCTCCTTGGAAACCCTGTACAGGGTTGCTATGAGTTGGAACCAACTTGATGGCACTTAACAACAACAACCGTTAATAAGTCTGCAACCTGGTCAACTATAGATTAGCCTTGAAACTGCTGGAGTTCCAGGTCTATTTAAAACATTTTGCATAGTTTTATTCCACACTGTGATGGGTGAAACTGATTCTGACAGTGGTATTTTGGTAGACTTAGACAGCTGGAACTTTGGAATAGTTCGCCATGTGAAGAGGACCATTAATTACCTTTAGGAGATTACTCGATGTTTAAGTTAATGTGTTCACCTTGAGATAGTTGTAGTTGGCTTACATGTTTTGTTGTTGATTTGAGTAGAGCTCTAGATCTGGGCAGCCCCAGACCTATAAGATCCTTAACTAAGGGACCTATAAGATCCTTAACTCAGTTTCTAACTGAAGAGATGCTCTGTGAGCATTTTCTCAGTCAACATGTGACCGATCTGGCATGTGGCCTCGTCCTTGAGCTAGCTGCTGGTGTCTCAGGAAGGTCACGGTAGAAGAGCCGGGTTCTGAGGTGATGTGTGAGGGGCACTAACCAATTGCCATTGAGTCCATTCCAACTCCTATAGATCTTGTAGGACAGAATAGAACTGCCCCATAGGGTTTCCAGAGCTATAACCTTCCTGGAAATCATCCTCCTGCAGTGGATTCAATCGGCCAGCCTTTTGTGTTAGCCACTGTGTCACAGTCATTTCATTCACCCTCCCTGGTACCAGGCAGCATCTGTGCAGCCACCACTCCCTTCCTCACACTGCCCTTGTGGGGACAGCCTAGTCTTGCTTTCTTTTTTTTCAGCCTAGTCTTTCAAACAGCGTTTCCCATGGATAAAATGTCTGAGTTGGGCAGGTGGGTTTTGTTTTAATGACAGAAGTCTACAGCCTCCCACCTGTTTCAGTTAAGGGGTCAGTTCTTAGCCAGGTCTGCAAGGCTCTGCATGCCCTGGGTCCTACCTCCCTGTTTGTATGTTTCTACTCTGCCTTGCACTGCACCAAACCAAAACCAAACTGATTGCTGTTGAATCATTTCCAACTCATGACAACCCCATGCGTGTCATAGTAGAACTGTGCTCCAATGAGCCAGGGTTTTCAGTGGCCGATTTTTTGCAAGTCATCTGCAGGTCTTTCTTTTGGGGTTCCTCTAGGGGTCTTGAAATGATAACCTCTTGTACCACCGAGGAGACCTTGTACTCCACACTCCTGTCCTAGTGAGCTACATGCAACTTCCCCACTCAGCCTGTGCTGGCTTCCTCTCCATGGCTTACCAGTGCTTGCTCGATACCACAGCTGGTCCTGTGTGTGACTGTCTCCTTCCTGAAGCCTGCTTTTACCCTCTAGTTTGGATCATTTTCCAGGCATGCCTCCTTCATAACCCAGCTCAGTGATTCCAAGCCACCGCCTGATCTATGGACTCTGGAACAAGATGGTTTGCGAGGAATCACTAGGCATGTGTTAAGGACAGTAGAGTCAGATTGCTTGGCTTTATATTTTGTTTCTTCTACATATCTGGGGCAGGCAGATTCCTTAACTTTTCTGGTCTTTAGTGTCCTCACCTGTAAAATGAAGATGCTACTGGTGTGCTATGGAGTCAGTTAGTTCTGACTCTTTGATGATAATGGTACCCACCCATAAAGATGTAAGGATTAAATATAGCCTTTACCACTCCAGATAGAGGAGCTCTGGTAGCATAGTGGCATCAGGCTGCTAATCTCATGGTCATCAGTTTGAAACTACCCGCGGTTCCATAGAGAAAGATGAGGCTTTCTGCTCCCATAAAGATTTACAGCCTTGGAAACCCTATAAACAGGGTTGCTATGAGTTGGAACTGACTCCGTGGCACACCACCACCACCACCATCCAGACGCTCACATTCTGCATATGTCTCTGTCTTCCCCGATGTCTTCTTATCTGCTATCTGTGTCTTCTCCTATGTCTTCTTATCTTCTTATCTTCTTATGTACTTAATACAGTGCTTGACACATAGCATGCCCTCGTCAACTGAGTGATGCCCACAGTCTTTGGACATCATTCTAGTTTTTATTCATCACTCTGAAAACTGGTCTAAATGTAGTAATATCTCAATAGCAGAACTGACTTGGCCTGGTGCTTGACCTTCTAGACTAGCCACACCCTGCATGTGAACGTACTCTGGTTGGGCAGTTGGAAGGAGGGCTGCCTGAGCTGTGCTCTTTTTGGCATCTAGCTCTTGACTGATGAAGAGTCCTACAGAACCATGTGTGTGAATGGTCTGGGAGAGTTGGGAGGAGGTGTTGCTTTTGAAAGGACTCAACCATGGTTGGGTTGAATAAGAGAAATGCAGCACAGATTCACCAGGAAAGGCAGTGGGTAACATCCCTGCTGTGTTCTGTCTCCCTTTTGACTCCTCTCTCTCCTCCGTTTCTCCAGCTACTATGCTGTTCTCTACCCCATGGTGTACCCCATGAAGATCACAGGGAACCGGGCAGTGATGGCCCTTGTCTATATCTGGCTTCACTCCCTCATCGGCTGCCTGCCCCCCTTATTTGGTTGGTCCTCAGTGGAGTTTGACGAGTTCAAGTGGATGTGTGTGGCTGCGTGGCACCGGGAGCCTGGCTACACAGCTTTCTGGCAGATCTGGTGTGCCCTCTTCCCCTTCCTGGTCATGCTGGTATGCTATGGCTTCATCTTCCGTGTGGCCAGGGTCAAGGCACGCAAGGTGCACTGTGGTACTGTGGTCTCCGTGGAGGAAGACACCCAGAGGAACGGGAGGAAAAACTCCAGCACCTCCACCTCCTCCTCGGGCAGCAGGAGGAACGCCTTTCAGGGTGTGGTCTACTCAGCCAACCAGTGCAAAGCCCTCATTACCATCCTGGTGGTCATCGGCGCCTTCATGGTCACCTGGGGCCCCTACATGGTTGTCATCTCTTCTGAGGCCCTCTGGGGGAAGAACTATGTCTCCCCGACCCTGGAGACCTGGGCCACATGGCTGTCCTTCACCAGCGCCATCTGTCACCCCCTGATCTATGGACTCTGGAACAAGACAGTTCGCAAGGAACTACTGGGCATGTGCTTTGGGGACCGATATTACCGGGAACCATTTGTGCAACGACAGAGGACATCTAGGCTCTTCAGCATTTCCAACAGGATCACAGGTAACTTGGGAACTGATCCAGGAAAGGGGTAGCCATCCACATCCGAGGCAGGTGCAGCGTATATCCCCATCAGCTGCTCTGGCAGCATGAAGGTCCAAAGCCTAGATTTGGGAAAGGAATATTTCAGGGTGTCCACTGTGGTTCCCAAGTGACTCTCCAAACACCATCAGCTCCAGGTCATGCTGAGGAGGAGGCCACTGTAGCTTACTGAAGTGCATCCCAAAGAATTTGGGGACACCATAGTTCAGAAATTCATTTATTTACCCTACCATGGTACACTGGCTTCAGGCCTCTAGTTATTGCTATACTATAGATCCGGGGTGGGGAACATCTGGCCCGCAGGCTGTATATGGCCCGTGAAATCATTTGGTTGGGCCCTGCCAAGGCAAACACAGTTCCAGCCATCATAATAGGGGGTTATTAAGTAAATATTTGACCAAATATAGCAGGCTAATTTTTAAGTTGATAATTTTGTATGGTCTGTGAATGATATTATAAGTTTTGGTGGAAAAAAGGTTCCCCACCCCTGCTCTTAATAAAAGAATCTAAAGTATTATTAGACCTGGCTGCCTTCTCCTCTTGACAAGTCCTTTGCTTTCCACATGTCCTCTTTTCAGCACTCTTTCACCTTCCCATGCCTCAGATCCTCAATGAAGGTGTGTCCCTCATCCCCAGTCATACTCGACTTGGGCCTTTCCTCACAGCTCAGAGGTTTCCTCAGGTTGTCCCTGGTGACTAAGGGTGTGTCATTGCCACCCACTGTCCATTGTGGCAGGTGGCTCTTCCATTTGACAGCTGATTCGGTGTTAACAGGTTTCTGGAGACAATCCTTTGATGAGACCCAGAAGTGCTTTCATCACCAGCTAGTTTTATTTTAACTTATTTTGAAATCATTCTGAACTTACTGAAGAGTTGAATATATATACCAGACAGAGTTTAGTCAGAGAGGCTCCCTCAGTGTGTTCTCATCTTCTATGACCTTGACACTTCAGTCAAGTATTTTGTAGGATGCGCCTCAGTTTGAGTTCCCTGCTGTTTTCTCCAGGTTAGAACAGGATTGCGCATTTTTGGTAAGAGCACCATAGCTTCTTAGTGCATCCTACCAGGGGCTTTGTAATGTCAGTGTATCTTATTCTTAGTAATGTTAACTTTGGTTTCTTGGTTAAGGTGGTGACCACAAAGTCATTCTTTTTCTCATTGTAACTAACAATTATTTGAGGGAAAAATATTTTCAGCCTATGCAGATACCCTCTTTCACCGTCACCTTTTCATCCATGGAGCACACATTGGTGGATCTCGACTACAGCAGTTATTTGTTATTGTTAAGTACTGTTGAGTCAGTTTCGACCCACAGCGACCCTGTCTTGGGTTTCCAAGGAACAGCTGGTGGGTTTGAACTGCCAACCTTGTGGTTTGCAGTCCAGTGCCGATCCTACAGCATCATACCAGGAGTCCGAACACTTAGTACTGTTTGGTTTTAATGGTGAAGTAGCTTGATTTTAGGGGGGCCAAGTTTCAGGGAGATTTGTCAGGCCATTGAAAGGGAGATGTTGAAAGCACTTATTAGATCATATTCCTTGAAAGAGCCAGTTCTGACCTTAGTTCTGATCTGTTAACAGATAGCTCTGAGGGAGTCATCAAACCTCTCAAGTTGATTGTTCTCTTTGTGAAATAGAGAGGTCTTCAACCTCTTTCCTTTGAAGGAGCTGGAAAGGAATAAATAACTCCTGTTGTTCTGGCATGGGGTGGTGGCTCAGCGTTAGAATTCTCACCTTCCATGTGGGAGGCCCAGAGCAGACTGGCCATTGCTCTCTACAGCCACCACCCACATGCTGTTGAGCTTTGCGTTTTGCTAAGATGCTGAACAGGTATCAGTGGAGCTTCCAGACCAAGATGGCTGTCTACTTCTGAAAATAAGGCGATGAAAACCCTCCACGTCAGGATGGACCAATCTGTAAGTGATCCTGTGAATGACTCAGGGCCAGGCAGCATTTTGTTTCCCTGAGCAAAGGCCAGTGCCATTGTAGCTAACAACAACAGTTCCTATGACTGTTCAATGGTAGTGAAGACATACAGTAATTAAAAAAGAGAACATCTCTAATTTATTTTATGAACTGATGGAGAATTAGAGAAGAAGGAAGCCTGGAATTGTTTTATTTGTTGTTATTGTTTATTTTTTTAACCCTCAGAGAACACAGTCTTCTTGTAGTCTTGTATTTTAACTGCTGGAATGCCCACCCTTGTCTCCTCACCCCACCCAACCCCCCACAACAACTTGCAAACCTGTATTTTCCAAGTGTCACTGTGAGTTTCTTCAGTGTTGGGCTTGTTTCCACCGGTGAATTTATTTGCTCAGATTTTATAAAATCACGTATCTTCCAGGTAAAAGAATAATAGACATTTTCATTTCAGTGAAGTTAAGAATGAGGAAGGCAAAAAAATGAGGAAAGAGAAAGGGAGGAGGAGGGTGTAGATAGAACAAAAAGAAACATCTGCTTTCTGGACCAAGATTTCCCATGTAAGTCACTTTTGATTATCCTAGAAAGAGCTTATGAGGCTGTGAGTACAGGTGGAAAAATACCAGTTGTGGTTTGCGTTGGAAGTCCAAGGACACTGGTAGTCTCCATATGTAGGGAAAGATGGCCTTGTGGAATGCTCTTAGGTGGAAGAGCTTGTGGGATGATGGGTTTTGAGCTGTTGGCCTTCCCCAGGATTGGGACCTGGGGGGTCCTTGTTGACCTGATCCCTGAGAAGGGCAGCATCATCTGCAGAATCTTAGAAACTAAGCAGAATGCAAAGCATACCCAGGTTCTCTCAGACATCACCAATCAGACCCTGGTCTAATAGCTTCTGTGTGCATCACTGGATCTGCAGCACATACCTAAACCCTAATCTACTTCTCCTACCCATTGGCCTGCTTCCAGGACCCTCCCTCATCCTCAGAGAGCACCCTTGCTCTGAGTGTTAATGAGTACAAGGTAATAAGATGGCAGGATCCATTCCAAAGCCAACAAGAAATGACTTGGAGGTTCTTAGTTTTCTTCTTCTCCATTTGTATGTGCATCTGGGAAACTTCAACCAAAGAAATCAGTAACTGGAGTTCTAACCTCTTATAAACAGTGCTTATGAGCAAAGACAGAGTAGAATTCCACAAATACCTGGAGCTTCCTAGCAGAGTCTGGGATATCAGGAATCTCATAAACAGCCTGTCATGTTTGTTTCATACATAGCAGATTTCCACCATAATCAAAGTATTTTGTTTTTCTCATTCTGTTAGCCACAAATTGAAGAAATAGAAAAGCTCAGGTTTTCCCTGTGGGGCCAGCTGCCAGAGAGCTACCAAAATAGCTTCTGCTTGTGAGGTCTCATTAGCAGGTTCCCGCTGGGAGCACTTGGCTACCTGGAAGTTGACTGGCAGAGTGAACTTATGGTAGCAGGTCAGCCTGGCAGTGGGCATTGACTTCTAGAGCTAAAGGGTGAGCTAAAGTTGGTCTTAGGATCCCAAACCACAAATCCAAAGCTGACAGGTGATTGATTCTAGGCTGTCAGAGCAAAAGTTGGGGCTTTCAGGAGAAAGAGCAATGAACTCCTCCTGCAGGTCTTCCACCCGCACACCCAGAACCTCACCCCAGACAGGATTGGGAAGTCCAGGCAGCACTCCCACCTCAGACCTAAAGGTGGCTCATTCTCCCCTGGGCATGGTGCGCAGCTCTCCTGGCATCATCCGGGAAGGACACTGATGCAGATTTCCTGAAAGGAAAATGCTTTGCTGCAGGTCTTTGTTTGAGAGCTGGGGCTGGAGGGAAGGAAGAGCTAGCTGGGGCCTTTGAATTTTCCTGCCTTGCTCCCCTCCTGCTGGCACTCAGAGATCATTGGGTTACTTCAGAGTGCCTACTTCACCTCAGCATCTTGCTCACGCTCTTTTAGCCTCTGACAGGCACGGCCCAGGCTTTGAGGGAGGCACAAACCTGGCCCCTGGGGCCTATCCATTTTTTTTTTTTTTTTTTGTACAAGAGTTCAGATTGAGCCCAGCTTAGTAGCTATTTTGTATTGTCATGAAAATTCGCAGGGTGACCGCTGCCACTCTCGGTGGTAAACTGGATAAACACAGAAGTGAGAGATGCCACCCGATCCCCATTTCCAGGCCTTTGAGTTGAACCACACTGGCCTGGCTCGACTGTTCTTCCCACTGATGCGAGACTGGGACTGGTTCCTGGCTTTCACTGAAGCCTCAGAGGCAGTGTCCAAACCCTCTGTGGCTGTCCAAACCCTCTGTGGCTGTAGTCATTCCAGCTGGTGGTGGATGGCCCCTCACAGGCTCCACTCCCCAACCTGGCTTCCCTCTGAGACCATGACCCTGGAGGGGTGTAGAGGCGATGGTCCTGGGGCAGGGGAGATGTTTGGAGTCCTCTCTGGTCTGCACCTGTGACATCAAACCTCCAGTAAAGGGGCAGGCTCTCTATAAAAGTGGAATTCCAAATTTAAAGGACCTTGTAGGAGAAGCCTGCAGTGACTATCATCCTCCCCAGCTCTGGGAAAGAAAACAGAGTATATATGCTCTATCACCTTGTACCCTGAAAAGAATCAGGATAAAATTAAAGCATGGTGTCTTCTTCCCTCTGTGAGAGAATGCAGGGCTATATAGGTCAGTAAATCTTGGAGGCAGTAGCTCTTCCTTGTGAGATCTGAGGCGTTTCGATTTTTTGTGCGGTGTTTTTAATTTCACAGAGCTCTTGTTATCTCCACATTCTTTTCCTTATAGCTTCCAGCTCCTTTTCATGGATGCATTATCTTTTCAAGTTTCAGAGAATACCAAATTATATATATTTTTTTTCCCTTCTTTTTTTCCCTGTTTTGTTAAGCCTCTGAACGTCTCCTCTCAGAAATGTTTTTATTCTCCTTTAGTTTTTTCCCTCTATCTCTGTCTTTCGCGTTAGAGCCTTTTCTTAAATTACTAATAATTCTTGGCTGGTCTTCATCATTCATAACGAGGGACTGGAGAGCCTTTGGGCCCTGGGTGGTTGTGGGGCAGGGAGACTTGGTATCACAAGGTGTCTGGTTGGACCGTTTCACCCAGTTCTTCCCTAGTCTCCTGTCCAGGTTGGGTGGGATAATGGGATTCGGGTCCCCTTGTTAAATTTCCTTCTGTTTTCCTGGTATCCCTGCCTCCAGCTGTGTCTGGTGTTCCCAAGTCCAGAGCCCTATCTCTCTATAGTCACCCCCTGCTCTGCTGCATCCCAGAGCTGGAGGTGGCCAACCACTTCTGTTAGAGCCTTTCAACCAAGCTCCACCTGCCTGCAGAGACTCCTGATGAGAATTAGACTGCTTCCAAACCTCTGATCATCCTAGGTTCTCTTCCCTTGGTCAGATTATTATACCCAACCATCTATTTCTTTCCAGCTTCCAAAAATTCTTTCCTTTTGGGAGTCTTGATGTGGCTCTGTAAGTTGATGTGCTGGACTTCAAAATCAGTTTGAACCACAAGGTCAGTTCAAGCTCACCAGCCTCTCTTTGGAAGCGCTATACAGGGTCACTATGGGTTGGAACCGACTCAACAGCACTTAACAACAAGAAGTCACTTAAGAAAAAAAATCTCTTCTGTCATTCTAGTAGGATTCCAGGAGGTAAACATGGGCATTCAGTCCTCCACGTTGAACTGGAAGATCTCCTCACGACTGCTTACCTCAGATTTTCTTCTCCCATGATCAACACTATTATACGGGGACACAGTGACACTGTAAACACCCTGAGACAGGGGCAGAGCAGGGGCAGGTGGAGAAAGAGCAGCTGAGGGCTTCCTACTCCTCAGTAGTCTGAGAGCACGCTTTATGTGGGGAATGTAGAGGGCAGGAGGGATGGCACTGTGGCGAGACACAAGAGAGAGGGGAGGGCCCTGGGCTCCCGTCAAGATGTGGAGGACTCACTGCCGACCTTGCCTTTCAGACCTGGGCCTATCTCCACATCTCTCGGCGCTCATGGCCGGTGGACAGCCCCTGGGCCACAGCAGCAGCACCGGGGACACTGGCTTCAGCTGCTCTCAGGACTCAGGTAACCCTAATGCCTTCCAAGCTTCCCACCTGTGGTGTTTCCCTGAGTCAGACATCACAGTGTGGATGGAAGGAGCAAATCTAACCTGCACTCTGCTTTTTCTGCCCTTACTTTACTCCTCTATAAAATGGGATCACAGTTACTGTTTATTGGTTTGTTTTCTGTTGGGAGGTTGAATTTAAATAAAAGTCTGTGTCAAGTTGACTTGCTGAATGAATGTGGAGTGTGGCTGTGAGGACAGTAACAGGCTCTTGAAGTGACTTCTATGAGTTGTGTTATTTTAGGAAACATTGCTTAATCCTAGTTAGAACTTTCTAGTTTCCATATTTGTAAAATAATCCCTATGTCAAAGAGTTGTTTTGAAAATCAAAAGGAATAGTGAATGTCCATCACATACCTCAGTGCCCAGCATAGTGGAAGCCCCTCCTGACCTTGCCAGATGTTTTTGCCAGCCTCATTGTATGGTCTACTGCCTTCCTGTGCGAAAGTCAGTCTTTCCTGAAGAAAAACATCTCCTCTACAAATCTTCCATCACTATGCCTTTATTTACTCCCCAAAAGGTCCTGCAAACCTAGGGTCACTCTTCTTTCTTCAAACAGTTGCTTTGGGATACCCAAGCCCATCCCTGGCCATTCTTGGGGAGCCGTGAGTCAACGTCCTGTCCTCACCAAGGATATCATCGGGAACCTCTCGGGGCATTGGGAGAGGCTGGGAGTGTGGCTCGCTCGCTTCATCAGATACACAGCTCCTATTGCTGAAGACGAGCAGTTACCCATTTGGACTGGCGTTTGTGTGGATGCACTGGAGAGGGATGGGAACTTTTTAACCTCAATAAACTGCTCTAAGAGTGCTGAGAGCTCTAAAGGGGGAAGCTGGAGCCCTGTAGGAAGGCATGGCAGGGAGTTGTAAGTTACATAGGGTGCAGGGCTTATTAGAAAGACCTATCTAAAGAAGTGAGGTGAGCCTGAAGAATATGTAGGAGGGAGCCAGGCAAAGGAGCCAGTGATTAAAACACTCAGTTATTAACCAGATAAGGTTGATGGTTCCAATCCACCAGACACTTTATGGGAGATAGGTGAGGCTGTCTGTTTCTGCAAAGATTACAGCCTGGGAAACCCTATGGGGCAGTTCTCCCCTATAGGGCTGCTATGAGTTGGAACTGACTCAATGGCAGTGGGACGTCTAGCCAGGCTAAAGGAGTAAGGATAGATACTGGTGTAGGCAGAAAAAGGAGCCTAGGCTTTGGGGTCCCACTGACCTCAGTGCTAGTTTTAGCTCCACCATTTATTAGCTATGTTCTTTTTAGCAGTGACTTCACTGATTTAGCTCCTGCTATGTGCTAGGCACTGTGTTCAATTGTGAAATGTCTCTGCTCATAAGATCCTCACAACAATTCTGTGAGGTCGACTGAATGACAATTCTTGTTTTACAGCTGTGGAAAGACTGAGAAATTAAGCAACCTGGTACTGCAGGCTAATGTGCTGGATTGCAAAGTCGGTTTGAACCGCAAGATCAGCAGTTCAAGCTTACTAGCCGCTCCTTGGAAACCCTATACAGGGTTGCTGAGTCGGAACCAACTCTATGGCAGTTAACAACAACACCATCAGTGATCCTAGTTCTGTCTGACTCTAGAACCCATGTGCTTTACCACTGTATTCTAACACTTCCCAAAGCAATGCTCCTGTAGGCAAAGCCAATAGCTACTTTGCCAGGAGATTCTGAAACAACATATGAAGCAGTCTGAGCTTCCCAGTTGTCCTTATTTTCTGGTGTAGGATAAGCACTGCACCACAAGGTCAGTTTGAACTGCAAGGTCAGTGGTTCAAACTCACCAGCCACTCTTCAGCAACCTATTCAGGGTTGCTATGAATCGGAACTGACTTGACTATACTTTATAACAACAAGGTCTTGATGGATTGAATGTTGGAGATTAAGGTGGAGCAAGGCTGGTTGCAGATGTTCCATCCCCCTGACTGGCCAGTGCATTATTGAGCAATGAATGAGTCTTGTCTCAGCCCTTCACCCTGCCCCTGCCCTCTCTTTCCCCTGGATGCTCCCGCTGCCTGCTCTTCCCAGTTCCCTTAATAGGACTTCCTGACTCTCTGCCTTTGTTTAACCACTTTTTTTCTTTTTTTTGGGAAATACTCCCTTCTTTGTTAATCTCCATAGGATTTTACATTTTCAAGTTTTCAGTGTTTATTTAGCATAAAATTATTTAAACTATAGTGATAGAAATTGAACTGGAAAAAAAGTTGCTTTAGATACAAAGATTCCTTTTTACAGAGCCCTGTCCTCCCACTGGGGAGTCCCTGAATGGCACACATTGTTTAAGCTCAGCTGCTAACCAAAAGGATGAAGGTTCTGAGTTCACCCAGAGCACCTTGGAAGAAAGGCCTGGTGTCCACTTCTGAAAAACCAGCCAGTGATAACTCTATGGAGCATAGTTCTGCTCTGAGATCCAGGGGTCATCATGGGTCAGAATTGACTTGATAGCTGCTTTTTTTGTTGTTGTTGTCCTCTGGTGTGGTGCTGCGGGTTAATGTGCTGGACTGCAAAGTTGAATTGCAGTGTAAGCGGTTCAAGCTCACCAGCCACTCCTTGTACACCCTATACAGAATTGATATGAGTCAGAACCGACTTGACAGCACTTAACAACAACAACATGGAGACCAGGACTGTTAATCACAAGGTTGGCAGTTCAAACCCATCAGTCTCGCAGGAGAAAGATGAGGCTTTGTGTTCCCATAAAGATTTACAGTTTCTGAAACCCTATACAGGGTTACTATGAGTTGGAATCAACTCAGCGGCAGCAGGTTTGGATTTTATGGATGAGCCCTGGTGACGATGTGGGTTAGGTGTTGGGCTATGGTGGTTCAAACCTACCAGCTGCTCCATGGGAGAAAGATGAGGCTGTCTGGTCCTGTAAAGATTTACAGTCTAAGAAACCCTATAGAGGGTCATTATCAGTCAGAACCGACTCTATGGCAGTGAGTTTTGGCTCGGGTGTTTTATTAACCTCTTCCCCCGAGTCTGGCAGAATTCACACTTCTGTGTTGTTTTCCCTTTGGCACACAGCCCCCTGCTTTGGAAAAGACGACTGTTTTGTGTGTGTACCACAGCCTCCCTGAAAAGGGACAGGCTGTTTCCTGGGCAAATATGGCAGGGCAGTTAACTCCACCAGGTGATGGGTTTTAACAAATGGGAGAGTGGATTGCCAGCAGTGTTGAGACACGGGAGGAGGAGAGGAGCAGATTGGAGAAGGGGAGTAGGATTTGGTGTTGCGGGTGATGGGTGCACAGTCTGCATTTCATTTCAGGGACAGATGTGATGCTGCTCGAAGACTACACGTCTGATGACAACCCACCCTCACACTGTACTTGCCCACCCAAGCGAAGGAGCTCAGTGACATTTGAGGATGAAGTGGATCAAATCAAAGGTTGGTTTCTGTGACTGGCTGCTTCAGGAAACAAGGAGAAAGACTCTTAGGAAAATCCCTTGACCCAACCATGCCCCTACCCGGAACCCTCCCTGGTTTCCGCACCCCAGCTCTCCGTGCAGATGGCATCCAGCACCTTCTGTTGAACTCCACAAAGACACACACACTCTACCAGCCAGCCTCCTGATTCACATCTGCTCCCTCAGCAAGTTGCAGTCTGGGTAAAACCTTGCTGGAGCACTCCATAGTTTCTTAGCTTGGAACTTAAACTTGATCTTTCCTTTTTGGGTAATGTGCGGTTATAGATTTGAATGTGGCTTTTCTGAGCCTCACTTTCCTCATGTGGAGGATGGAAATAATGGCCCAGAGGGTGCATCTCCTGTTCTGTAGGTCAAGGCTGCCATCTTGATTGTCTGTTGCTTCTGTTACTGGTGAGGACATGTGGGTCCTGTGAGAGTGATGATGGGTTCGCCTCTTGTCCAGTCCCTACATTTTTCTACCTTATCCTTCTCCTCTCTGGAACTTGGGGTCTAGTTTCCCATCCACACATGATGATTAAGGAGAAAAACCAAGGAGGAGCCATCCAGGCTGCCTATGGACGTAAGACTTTCATTTCCCCTGAATCCTGACCAGCATGCCTTGGCTGTGGATGTGATGGAGTCCCAGGACTTCCAGATGGAGGTGCTGAAATATAGAAATAGATCCAGGCCCTCTTTATAGGTTCATCATTGATCACACATTGTGTTCCACCCACTCCCTGAGCTCAGAGCCAATTGAGAAGCAGTCATAGAAGTCAGCTGTGAAGTGGTCTTGGACTAGAGCGTACACACCCAGCCACATGGGTTTTTAATAATATGTTACCCCCATATAGGAATCCTGGTGTGGCGCTGTGGGTTAATGCGCTGGACTGCAAAGTTGGTTTGAACAGCAAGGTTGGCACTTCAGCTTCACCAGGTGCTCCTCTGAAACCCTACACATGGTTGCTGTGGGTCGGAACTCATTCCATGGCACTTAACAGCAGTAACAACCACCACCGCACCCATATAAGCAAAATGAATTGCCTGCTTCCCAGTCTCCCAGCCCACACTGGGCCAGGTTTGCCCCTTCATGACTACTGTAAGGTACCAGTATCTGACCCAGCACCCTCACTGCAGGCGGAATGGAGAGCCAGGTGCCTATCTGCTGTGAGGTAGAGTGAGTGAGCAGGAAGCCAGAGAGGCTCGATGTGCCCCCATCATGCTTTCCTTCATAGAGCATGGGCGTGGAAGTTACCTGCTCTCCAGAAAAGTGTAAGTAGTGGGGGATACATTGTTTCCACCAAAAAAATGTCCAGAGAAAAATAGGCTGTGGACTTAATAATAATAGGCCACTGGGTAGCTTGTTCTCTCCTCTTCATTTAAGTTGTCCGTCTTGGAGTGGGCGTGATTTAACGATTTCAGTAGCCCTATGACGTAAGAGGTGAGTTAGGATTCCTATTTACCACAGGTGTGGACACTGAGGCTAGATTAGTTTCTCTAATAGTTCCTGGTAGTATGTAGGGATCCAAGGACTTTAGCGTAGGGGATCCGATCTCACAGCACATGGTCTCGTCTCCATTCCCGGGACAGTCACTGGTCCTCACTTCTTGGCCAACCTTTTGTTTTTCTTGCCTTCTTTCTCAGAAGCTGCCAAGAACTCTATTCTTCATGTGAAAGCTGAAGTGCACAAGTCCTTGGACAGTTATGCCGCCAGCTTGGCCAAAGCCATTGAGGCTGAAGCCAAAATCAACTTGTTTGGGGAGGAGGCTTTGCCAGGGGTCTTGTTCGCAGCACGGACTGTCCCAGGTGCTGGCTTTGGGGGCCGCCGAGGCAGCAGAACTCTGGCAAGCACAAGCCAGAGGCTCCAGTTGCAGAGCATCGAAGAGGGGAATGTTCTAGCTGCAGAACAGAGATGAAGGCCTCTGGGTGGACTGGGGCCAGTGCTGGAGATGTTCTGTGGAGGGATTCCCATTGCTGCTGGTGCCAGACTTCACAAGAGCATGTCAGCGCGGACCGTGGGCTGTGTGCCATTGTGGAGAAGGAACAGTATCTGGTATGCAGCCACCAGCAGAAGGACTGGAAGCTGTCTGGAGTCGGTGACTTAAGCGTTTGCTGTCACATGCAGGCTTTTGCTAGATCCTGTGCTGGGATCAAAGGAACAGACGGGTGTGGTCTGGACTTTGTGGGAGGTAGGGCCTGAAGAGAGGCTAGGGACCATGGACTTGGAAGGGGACCACTGTGTGGATCATTTCATCTTCACAGCTTGCATCCTGGGGTCCAGCCACACATGGAGGCTCATTTCAGTGTGCTGTGGAGACCACACGTCTTCCTGACAAATCAAGAGTTTCACATCCAGACACAGTGGTCCCCAGAGAGAGCACACAGAAGCAAGGCATGCTAGGTGGAGTTCCCACACCTCGTCTCCTGGTTCCCACCTTGCCTTGGAGTGACCTGCTGGTGCTAGTCGAGGCAGCTGGCAGGCCACAAGGGCAAAGGCACCAGGCCCCAGGCTGCTGCGGCTGAGCACGGGGCCCAGCCCACCCATCTCCCTACAGATAGACATTTTGGTATTTCAAAAGGAGAAACCACTATAAAAGACAGGAGGAAGGGGAATGTACCAGGTGTTTTCATTTTCAGAATTAAAACTCTCCATTTGATTAGGATTTATCACTGCGGTGCCAACATAGCCAGGAAATACTGTTATTGAAGGAAGAACCCTTTCCCATAGGAAAACTTCATGGAATAGATTCTACTTGTAATGTTGTATGTGACTAGAGGAGTTGGCCTCTAATTCTCAGTTACGTTAAGTGCCACCTTGGGCACATAAGATAGGCTAGGATCTGGGTTCTCATCCCCACTCTGCCTCTGACTACACATGCCATTTTGTCACCTCCTGAGACCATCTGTGGAATGGGAGAAAGGGGTGGGGAGGTGGGTGGAATGGTCTCCCAAGATCATTTCCAGCTCTGACATTCTTCAAAGTTTTCTCAATTCTCTAATAGAAATGGGAAAAGAAAAACAGTGGACCCACTGACCAACATTCGAGTGTCATTCCTAACGGGTGAACAAAGGAAGTGCTCGCTGCCAGGCTCCAGGTTGGGTCCAGGTCTGCCCTGATAGAATGCCGGCCCCCAAGTTGCATCTTGGAGGGATGTGTCCTCACAGGTGGAGATGGAACAGCGGCGGTTAGGGTTTGTGTGGTGAGCTCTCTCTTCCCTCCCCTTTGGGACCCTGTTGAGGGCGGTATCTTTTTGCCTTGAGGCTGAAACCAGTGTTTGGTGGGTATCCTGTGTCTGCACTTGACAATGGCCTGGGTTCTTGCTACCTTCGTGCTGGCTGCGAGAGCAGCTAGGTGCCAGGCCCCACCTGGGTTTTGCATGAGAGTGGAGACCTTTCCAGAGGAGCAGAGGCCAATTTCATGTGTGGGTTCTGCCCATGAGATGTGTAGGTCAGACACACTCTTCTCTCTCTGCTGGGCTGGGCTGGGTCTGGTTTCTAAAGGGACCTTCTTCCTGATCAGCTACTGGACACAGAAGTGGCTCATGGCAGAGAAACGATTTCTGAGCTGGAACAACCTGGGGGTAATGGATGGCTAGGCATTTTTGAATGCAGCAAATTGGCTTGGAACCCAAGGGCTGCAGAATGTCTTCCATGGGTGAGAATCCTGATCTGAGGCCAGCTGGGATATGCCAGGGTTTACTCTAAACTAATCTCGAAAAATGTATTTCACAGAAGAATTCACTCTCTTTCCCATGATTCTGCTGAGGCCCATCCATTTGTCTACCTGTCTTTAAGACTGGGCATCACTGTGTGCAAAGTACCAAGCCCTGACCATAAGTGCTACAGTGTTTTCAATCTGATTTAGGGGCAATACCCGGAGGATCCTGATCTAGTACCTAACAGCCAAGTAATGAACAGAGAACTGGGCTCCAGAGGGTGGGGGATAGTGCCACCTTGGGAGTTCAGAGGTGACTCTGTGAAGCAGAGGAGTCAGTCTGAACCAAGTCCTGGATTTGGAAGCTGTCTGCAGTCAGTGACTTTAGCATCTGCTGCTATTTCACACATGGGCTTTTGTTAGATCCCGGTGCTGATACGAAAAGAGCAGACAGGGATGTGGTCTGGACTTTGTGGGAGGTGGGGTCTGAAGGCAGGCTAGAGACCATGAGCTTAGAAGAAACCTACTGTAGGGCTTGTGGATTTTTTACAGACACGTGTATTTTGTATAGACTTGTGTTTTGTATGTTCAAGGAGTCACACTTGCTATTATTCAGTTAAGGGAGAAAATATAGTCGGCATACATCCTGACATTTCTGAGGATTTTGACAGAAGAAGGTCAAAGTCATCACTGCCCCCACTATCCCAGGCTCATTAGGTGTTAACTGCATTGCAGTGACAGGCCAAAGCCTTCCTGAGGGGAACGCATGGACAGTGGCAGGGGACGCTTGGCCACTTGCTTGAAATACAGGACCTCTTTCAGGGCTGTTGTACATCTGTTTCTTTCACTTAGATGCCTGGGTTCCTATGCCATGCCCTAGGACCTGGTTTGCAGGCTCTTACGCCCCAGAAGGCATTGGGAGTCCCACTACAGAGCACACACTTATCCTTGTCTCCTGACCAGAGAGAGGGACTTGCATTGAGGACCCAAAACACTAGGTGGCAGTAGTGTAGCTGTGATGCCACTGGTAGTTACCCAAGTGAAGAGCTGGGCTCTAAACTTCATTGGTACTGCAGACCTCAGTCTTTCAAGCAGGGGTAGGGAAATGTTCAGCCCACAGGCTGTATGTTGTTGTTAGGTGCCACAGAGTCAGTACCGACTCATAGCAAGCCTATGCACAGCAGAATGAAACACTGCCCAATCCTGGGCCAACCTCACTATTGTATTGTTGTTGCTAAGTGCTGTCGAGTCGGTTCCAACCCATAGCGACCCTGTATCTGGTTTCTGAGGAGCAGCTGATGAGCTTGAACCACTGACCTTGCAGTTCACATGGCTTTGCAGTCTGGTGCATTAGTAGTCAGCACCACACTGTGAAATCATTTGGTCTGGCCCTGCTAAGGCAACCGCAGTTCAGCCATCACATCTGTTGTTAAGTACCATCAAATTGTTTCTGACTCATAGTGACCCTGTCCTGTATAGGGTTTCCAAGGAGCAGCTAGTTAGCGTGAACTGCTGACCTTATGGTTCAAAATGAACTTGCAGTCCAGCGCACTAACCAGCAGTGCAACACCAGGACTCCAGCCGTCACATTAGGGGTGAGTTAATTAAACGTTTGACCAAATATGTTGTTAAGTGTTGTTGAGTTGGTTCTGACCCATAGCGACCCTGTATAGGGTTTCTAAGTAATGACTGGTGAGCTTGAACTGCTGACCTTGCGATTCAAACGACTTTGCAGTCCAGCGCATTAATCCACAGCACCACACCAGGACTCCTTGACCAAATATAGCAGGCAGATTTTTAAGTTGATAATTTTGTACGGCCTATGAATGACATAAAATTTAGCAGAAAAAATGTTACCCACCCCTACTGTAAAAGACCGCTCCTCTTGTCTGCTTCCGTGTGTGTGTGTGTGTGTGTGTGTGTGTGTGTGTGTGTGTGTGTCTCCCCTCTCCCCCTTAGGTTCCTAGGTACTGCCATGACTCACCTGTGCGAATGTGTAATTATAGAGGGTCTGGGAAGAGTGTAAGCCCAGGGCCCTGTAGTGCTAATAGACTTTGATTCTCATGAAAGAAGCTGCTGAGCAGTCAGAGGCCAGATATTCTGGGTGGGGACTGGCAAGGGAGGAAAAGTCCACCTGTTTAGATTCAATTACATGAATCTTTTCCCATCCTGTCAACATGCCCCCGAGACACTTCCGAATTGCATACAAAATGTAGCTCCTGTGTTAAACTAAGGATGGCAGGGCACCAGCCTTTATTCTAAGCTGTTAGATGTCTAAGTGCCTACTGTGTCCTAGGCACTATGTATGCTAGGCACTTCAGTGGGAATAGAGTAGGATTTGGATATAAGTTCTGGGTTCAGATCCCACTCTGCCATTTAGCTGCATGTTCTTGGGCAAGTTACACAATTTTTGTTTTCACTGTCTCAGTTTCTTCATGTGTAAAAAGGGGTTTGGTAATTTCTGTGGGGGACACAGAATCCAGAGAGCCTTCCTCCAAAGGTGATTGTGTGATCTATGAGGAAATATTTGTAATGCTCCCAGTGTACTACCTGGTGCGGAGGAACTGGTGTTTCTTCTCAGTCATTCTCTGAGGTGGGTGTATTCCTGTTTTACAGGCATCTCTCTGACAAGAGGTGAGGATCTTGAAAAGAGTTGAACTGTTATCCTCAATAGAAAGTATAGATGGTTATAACTGGGATTGAAAAGTTTGCTGTACGATTGCAGCACAAAAGGATCTTTTGGGAAAGAAAGGATAGGGTGAAGAAGTGGGGAGGCAAGAGAGAAGGAGCAGGGAAGGCTAAGTGGCATTGGAACTCAAGAGGTTAATAATGGAGCAGAAATGAGCTTTTCTATGAAAAATGTTATGTCTCATTCTGCTGGGCCTGCTTGTGCACAGAGAAAATTTTCTAAGTTGCCCTGAATGGCAGCTATCAGTCATGACCACACTCTGGGGTCTGGTGTAGAAGCCCACACCACAGTGCAAGGTTAGCCTTACAGCCCCAAAGGGGCAGTTTACCTTGTGTGCGCAAGGGGCCTGGTTGAGAAGGGAAAGCAGCTACTCATTATCTTGAGGTAAAGGAAGACGGTATTGGTTACAGTTGTCTAATTGTACCTTCTGTTTAGGTTGAGGAGAAAGTACACATAGAATCCAGAGAGGCCCAGGGCAGTGAAGTGACTTGTTCAGGGTTTCAAAGTGGGCCAGGTAGGGTCAACTTCCAGATCTTGGCTGTGTGACCTAGCAAAGGAAGCATCCAGTTTTGTCACTTAAGGCAGGTGAGGTATAGTTAAAAGTCATCATCAGGATAGACCAGCTGGGCTTCATTAGGTAAGTAAAAAGAACTATAATAAACCAAGGAGCTTGGGAGACACTTGACTATGGTTTATTAGATCTAAAAAAAGACCCAAGGACAGTGACAGGATTCATTGGAATGAATTCAAAGCACAAAGGTAATCTGCACAAGACTACAAAGAGCACAATTTCGGTCAGTGTTATTTTTATGAGAATACACAAAGCTGTGTTCATTCCCTCAGAAAATGTTTTCTTGAGCAGTATAGATAACTTAGGAATTAGAAGCCATTGCTGTTTTTCCTTTCGACAGCATCACTTTGAAGTATCACAAATCATAGGTAAGTCAACTCCTTCCAGCAGAAAATAGTCCCAAGAAGGCTGAGAGGCCTGGGTGGGCAAGGGCCAAGCTGAAGAGAGAGGAGAGAACCTCTGCGTGGGAAGATGTCTGTCAGTCAGTGCTGTGTTCTGATAATGGACCCCTAGACTCAGAAGTTGTTAAAAAGCCAAGCTTCACAACAAAGCAATGACAAACTAATCCTGAAATATATTTAACTTGAAGTTTCTGGGATTTCCTTTTTTTTTTAAGGTAAGAAAACTGTTTTAGGAGTGTTATAAATCCATATTTATAAGCAAGTAAAAGTGTATTTAGAATAGTTTTGTTTACCTGATTAAATATGTTTTCGGGATGTGTATCGCTGTGGAAATTATGAATACTTGTTGTACTATGGGCTTTTCTGGGTGCCTCACCCCTATTTCTCCTCCCCCACCCCCAGTTTCCCTTCTCAGAATACACGGCTAAAAGGGGAAGGAACCTGAGCAAGAAGGGGCAGACTGTTGGAGAATTGTGGGTATATGGGTGCCTTTACCAAAGTCAACTGGGTACATGCATCTGTGCATTTTTCCATCAATGCCTCCAGGCAATTAGATCAGAGGAGTACTGTTAAAAGGCCTATTTCTTAGCATGGCCAAGATATATAGAACAAACCCTCTTAACTCAAAGTTTTAAAAAGAGGTTTAATGAACATCAATCACATACATCAATACATATCTTACCCCATAATCAAATAGGATTATCACTGAGCCTCAGAATAATATGTAAACCCCCTTTAGAGTGACCCCTTCACTTGCGAGCACATAGGAGGACCGGTCACCTCATTTGCCAGTGTCCTCCCCACGTATACTGACTCTTGCTAGCTCTGCTCTGTACAGTGAATTCCCTCTTTGCTGCCTTCCTTACTGCATTTCTGGCTTGCCTGGCTCCTGACTTACAGGCCATGTCAAAGCATGAGGGCTTAATCTTGGTATCTGACTTCTTAGTCCCTCCATCCAGGGTATTTGTTTTCCTGAAAATAGGAGGAACAGTTTAAGTACCTGGTGACTGAGCAGTAAGACATGTATATATGTATTTGAGGCACCTGTTTCAGCAGGAACACTAACAGCATCAACCGAGAGGGGCTTCTGTATGACAGTGACAGACCATCCAAGTGTCACTGGTACTTGTTTTCTTCTAGCCACTGCTGCAGTCACTTATGGTCTGACAGCCACCTCAGGGCTGCTGCTGGCTGAGGGCTTACATGGATCTGACCTTGACAATAGCAGCATTCTCTTTCATGGGTCAGTGTTAGAATTTTGGTAGCACTGGATGACTATCTCCAAATTAATTCAAATTAGTCCAAGTAGTATGTAATCCAACCTTTTCCCTCTAATTGTTGGTTGGCAAGGAGGTAGGATGAAGGTAGTTATTGACTATGTTCAGGCCAAAGGGAATTTGCTGCTGTCATTAGTAAGTGAGGCAGTTGCCAAGAGCTCACTGACTTCAAACTCAAAGACATTCTCCTGGTTACAAAGGTCATTCTTACAAAAGGAAGAATTGATGTACCATCCCAGAAACTTACAATAGCAAATGCCAAGTGTGGGCGTATGTTTGGAAGAGAAGAGAAGGTAGAGTGCCTGTGACGTCATCCTTTGGGACCACTAAAGATTGACATCATGCTGCCATGCTTACTTTTCCCACTGAGGTAGCAGAAGGCAGTAAAGGAGATCTGGCTTCTGAAGAAGGCTTCAGACACCTGGGAAATAGCAAAGAGAGCCATAGATAAGTGGTGCGCTCACTTGAACCACAAGAGGAGCTGGAAAGTATATAGAGAATGGTATCAGGAAAAGATTTCCTTATTTTGTGAATGGAAGAGAGAGGAGGGCCAAGTTTGTACAGACTGAGGGAAAGACACCAGCATGGTAACTGTTTAGGAGGGGCGAGAGGGGTGTGGATGCGTAAAGTTGAATGGAGGTAGGCACTAGAGGCTGGGAGATCAGGAATTAGAAGGACAGTCAAAGGCTTTTACTTGAAATACAGATGGTGGAGAGAGGAGGACCAACAGAAATAGCAGGACCTGCAGATCCTACATGAGCTCTGTGATGTTCTCTCTGACTGACACTTGGTACACTTGGGTGAGGAGGTGCTCCTACATTACGTGCAGGTGAAGGAGAAATGAATAAAGCCTTTCTGTATGACCCTATCACATAGATGTTAAACAGAAAATGTCAATAAAGCTAAGGAACAAGGAATCACAGTCCTTTTGTTACAAACAGACTGGAAAAACGTGTCAGAGTAGCAAGATGGTCAAAGTTAGTTACTAAATAAAAAGTCAAATTCACAATATCTTAAAACAACCAACTTTTTTAATTAGAAAGCAACAAACATGCAAATGGCAAGTATAGAAATTTATCTGAACCAACATTTTCACTATAATGAAAATTATTCTTCAACATTGATTCAAGCTCCCACATCCGAAGGTTAAGGAAAATATTGCACTTTGCATCGTCTAACACTCCTCATTCACGGCAAAAGGTTTTAAAACATTTTGCTAATTTTGTTTTACACACACTCTCAAATTCATGCACACAGTCGTTCCAAATCAATATTAGGTTATCCCATAAAAAGGGAAAACTCCAAAAAACCAAAACCTTAAAATTGCACTAAAGCTCTGTAAAGAAAAAAAATATAATAAATGTCTTATACAAATTCCAGAACATCTAAGTGCTTGCCAACAAGAGTTGATAATTATTCATCTTCATTTTCATTTTCTTGGCCAGAGCCTTCTGATCTGTCACCCTCCAGCCGGTCTGGAAGACACAGAGATGGGGTCACAAAAACAGTAACTTTGTCACTACAGTTAAAATGCTTTTCAGTGCTTTTTACCAAACACTGACTAAAATGCATACAATTTAACACATCACTGTGTAAAAGTCAGCTCACCACTGTGGTAGATAGGTCATTTATTTGCCTTTTGATAGTTCCTGTTGGGTTAGCCCCTGACTTATGGCGACACCAAAAGTACAAGACATACTGCACTATTGGCTTTGAATGTGCACTAATTCTAACATCCAATATTAATAACCTTACAGACTGTGATGTATTGTTTTCAAACTGTTCTTGGAGTGTGGAATTCTAAGGGGTGTATCAGGCACCACCAAGGGGGAGGCTGCACACCAGAGAATCTGGGGTCCACCGTAGAGGATCTGTGTAATTCTATAAAAGGATGTTTAAATGATGTTCCATGCATTGTGTTTACAACTGAGGATATAAAGGTGATCAAAATAAATGTGTTATCTGCCCAGAAGGAGCTGATCTCGATTAAATACTCATTTGAACATATAATTACCAAGTGTGGTGAGTGCTGACTTGGACGTGTTTATCCAGCCACCTTACACTGGAGGCCAAGTACTCGCCAGCCCCTGAGCACAGCACAGCATGTTCTCAAGTGTTCATGATTTACACTTGTTGTTCCTTTGCCTGGGACACTTCTCCCAAGTCATCAGCTATGAAGGGTCTGTTTAGTCATTTGGTGAGAACTTTTCCCTGACTGCTTCCCTGACTCCACCTGAAGAATTAGGAGCTCCCTCCCCCTCCACATTCTGGAACATCGTGCATGAGCCCTATAACAATAATAATGATAGTTTGTGTGTCTTGAAGACTAGACAACTCTTGGTGGGCAGGAGGTATGTCTTTTATCTTTATAGCCTTAGATTCTAGTACAGGATGTTCATTTAATGTTTTCTGAATAAGTGCTTCATTTACTACGAGCATATACATTACATTAGGGTATAAAAGGAAAGCAACAGCATGGAACACTTTCTGGTAAACATTACGGTTAGACATAGGGAAGTGGTTCAGTCCCACTGACAACAGCAGGAGAAGATGTGACTTAGCCATTATATACTGCTGAATCTTGAGAGATTACGTATTACCTACAGGGGCTTAAGCACTCTCGTTGTATGCTCTAGCAATGATACCAGTGACAGTATACAAAGGGGACTCTATCTTTATGGTTCAACTGAATTTGATTAAGTCACCCCTATGGAAGCAGAGTAGAACTGCTCCACAGGGTTTCCTAGGCTCCCAGTCTCTACAGATACACCCTGTCACCTTTTTCTCCTGCTTAGAGGAGGCTGGTGGCTTGGACCACCGCACCACGAGGGCTCCCCAAATCCAAAACCTGCTGTCATCAAGTTGATTCTGACAATAGTCATTCTATGTAGCATTTCCAGGGCTGTAAATCTTTACAGGAGCTGCTCTTTTTTGCCCCCAGAGCAGCTGATAGATTTGAACTGCTGACCTTGAGGTAAGCAGTCCAATGCAGAACCCAAGATGCCAGCAGGACTCCTTGAAGCCAGCATGTTGTTGTTAAGTGTTGTTAAGTCATATCTGACTCATATTGATCCTGTGTATGATTTCTGAGGGGCAGCTGGTGGATCTGAACTGCTCACCTGTGGCTAGCAGTCCAGTGCTTACCCTACAACGCCACACTAGGACTCCACCTTGTAAAAACAAGACTGACATACTCAATATCAAATGTGTGCCTAGAATACATACAACACATCACCAACTGCTTAGGGAATTATTAAGAGATGTAGTTTTATATGACTTACATAACCCAAATTATAAAAATTTTGGCTATTATAAACTGCAAGGTTGGTGGTTCAAGCTGACAAGCTTCTCCACAGAAACCCTATACGGGGTCGCTATGGGTCAGAACCGACTTGATGGCACTTAGCAATTATCTATAAACTAAATGTACAAAACAGGATAGAGATACACCTTCACAGATCATTAAGCAATTGAAACCCAATGGAAGGGATTCTGACCAAGGGGCATTAGTGTAACAGAAGAGACCAAAACATTAAGTCCCCATTCTATTTTCTCTAAGTGGGGAAGCTGGATATGATGGACAACTTTCAGTCCTCACTTATCGACATTATTTCCAAAGACCAGGATGTTATGTTAAAATTGGTAGTATATGAAAATAGGGTATGATCACAAAACTGAGGATGACATCATTACCTAACTGCCAAATTACATCATCACCCAACTGCAAAATGGCATCATACGTAATTGTTAAACAATGAGAATCAGAGCCCAGCCTAGGTGACACATAACCTTCATGGCCAGTGTTAGCTCTTGATCTCGGCAATCATTACTACCAGACATATGCCGTCCCTGTGCAAAATAGTCAGACAGTAGATTTTTACTATTGCCATAAATGTCTAGTATTGAATAACATACACCTAAGGAGCTCTGGTAGCGTAGTGGTTATGAATCGGGCTGCGAACCTTAGGGTCAGCGGTTTGAAACTACCAGCCGCTCCGTGGTAGAAAGATGAGGCTTTCTACTCCCGTAAAGATTTACACCCTCGGAAACCCTGTACAGGGTCGCTATGGGTCGGGAACCGACTTGATGGCACTTAACAACAACAACAACTCCTAATCTAAGTGAGGAGTAGGTGTATATTCAAAAACCCATTATGTCACATCAGTGGAGCATGAGAAAACAGTATCACCCTATTAGAAAGTTTGTATGCTTTTAACCTAAATTTCTTTTGCTTGTCACACTGTAAATGAAGATAGGGAACTAGAGAGTTAAGAAGAAATGTTACAGCACTTAAAGCAGAATTTAAAGCAAGATATAAGGAGATGAATGAGGGCCAAAAGTCTCTTACATATGAAGGGGCTTCAAAAAGTTCGTGAAAAATGCCATTATATTTTCAATCCATTTTTCAACAAGCTTTTTGAAGCCCCGTGTTTGCCACAAAATAACCGATGGTGATTCCTAGAATGAGGAAGAAGGAATTGATCAAATGTGTATGACTTATATACATACAAGTAATTTAAACATGAAAATTGCTCTTTATTCCTCAAATTCAACTACTGTAGTATGTCTCTTGAACAAAATCTGCTCATAAGTGCTACTGCTCTGATAAAACTGGCAAAGCAGTTCAATACTTTCATAATTTTCTGGTTGGCAATTATAGATCAAGGAGATTTGAGGAATGCTGTGTTCTTTCAAAGAGAAATAAGGATCACTTCTGTATCCATTGTTTTCAAAGATAGAGCAGGCAAAATTGCTTTGTAAACAAGGCTTAAATTGTGGAACAGTTCCTTCTGTGTTAAAAATGCTTCTTCAGAAAATTACTTTTGGCTGGAGAAGGTATGATGATATGAAGAGATTACATTTCTTACCTAAGACATTTACTGGGGAGTGTGGGGTAGGCAAGGAACAGGAGAGATATGGGGGGAAGCCCCAAAGGAAACCTGTATTCCATGAAAACTCTCTTTTTATTTTCTAGAGTTTACACCGCAAAGAATTTATTTTGCTTTCTTAAGAGAATAAATAAGGCTGGAGTTAGGACGGTGATCTAGCTAGATGCTCCACACCTACAAACAAGACCCAAGAGACCAAGTGAAATCTATACATATGATAGTACTGGAACCCTGGGCTACAAACCAAAGTCGATCTAATACTGAGTGGAAGAGCTAGGGAATTAAAGCAAGGAACAGGCAGAAATGCAGAGTGGATGTGCCTTCTGAGTCACAGAAAGGCAACTTCACACAATCCCAATTAAGTCAGAGACACAGGGCAAACAAACTGCAAGTAAGCAGAGCATGAGCTAGGTCCAAGGAAGGAAAGTTCACAGGAAAGTGAGACAGAACTCCAGAACTTAGCACCCACAGAGCAAGGAGGAAGCAAGGAAACAGGGATAGAACCACTCTGTGGTCCCTGGTCATTTGGGTGGGGCCCCCACATGGTGTGGATGGCCTGTGGGGTTGTAGCCAGAGTCACTGGACTTGGCATCCCTTCGTCCCCTGTATTGAATCAGAGCATTGACCAGTTAATGGGCTGTACTCGACCAGGAATGCACTGGCAACCACACCCATAACTAGTGACCAGAGGAGAGTTCTCACTCCCTACCCTACATACCCTTCTGTTGACCATGGCAGCCAGTGATGCCCCCACTGGCCCACCTCCTCACCCCCCATAACCCGGCTCCCCGCCCTTACTGACTTGCAGAGAGCACTCCCACGTGTCCCACACAGCTGAGATCTACAAGGAAGCGTGCCTTTCATTGCAGCCTCCATGGTGAGCAGCATACACTCCTGTGACTCAGAGTTGCCTGTCTGCTGCCTGCACAGTTGGCGAGGCATACTCCCATGAGCTGGTGCCACTCTACCACCAGCTCCATGGTTAGCAGTGTGCACTTGTGCAGACCAGGTGACAAGCTCCGGTCACCTCTGCCACCTGTGATGCACACTTCTGCCTGCTGCTGTGCAGCCTTTCCCTTCTCCACCCCACCCCTCAGTGCTTTTCCTCTTTATCCTTCTTTCTTCCACTCCACCCGTTTGTTTTTGCCCCAGCAAAACAAGGCACTGACCCTAACCAGCCACATTGTTACACAATACTCCAGCACCACCAGATCAATGTTAGGCAGTGGCCCACCCAGACCAGTTGCTTTCAGCTGCTCTACACTACACAACCAACCACATTCCCACCTACTACAAAATCCACCCAGAGCGAAGGTGAGCAGCCAAGTGCTGCTACAACAGCGACCAAAGTAGTTTGCCTGCCCCAACTGACCGGATACATCAAAATAAAACAAAAAATAAAGCCAACCAACATACAATCAACAAATAAATACAGTCACACCATAATACCTTAGAGACAACAGATGACTTCAAATCATACCTCAAAAACAAGACAAGATGGCTCAAGCAAGTGACCAAATACAGGGTCAGTAAATCTTCCAGAGAAGGAAATGGTAATGGAGCAACTTGACAACAAAAGAACTGTA